AAAAAAAAAAAAAAGAACTGTCAGAAAAACAGCTTTTGGGGTAAACTTAAGACTGTTCTATTTCAACCCAACATATGAATTTGGGGCTCAGCATTCAGCCCAGAACAGTGCTGACGTGACAAACCAGGGACCATCTCTTTTCCTTGAAAAACTGTAGCCTTTGCCTTTTTAAGTTCCACTGTCACCTTTGATCTGATAGTCTCCAGAGAGGTGCAAAGGAGTAAATCCTCAATCCTATAAACAAACGGCTCTGAATCATTCTTTGAGAGTTAATCTATAGAAGCCTAACTACTCTATGTTGGATCCTGTTCTCCCTGACCAATACTCAATATCACTATATTTTTATGTTATTTTTATCAAAGGAAGCCTTCAGCAAGGAACTAAGAAAGTAAAGTATTATAAATATGAATGGAAGAGACTATAGGAGAAAGAATGATCAATAATGTTTGAGACCATGACAGACACACTTCTTCAGCTGTACTGCATGCTGAGTTGGCAATTATTTTGGATGAGTACTTGCAAAGTGTCCTTTCCAACCAAAAATAAATTACAAATGTCTTAATACTTGTTTATTTCCATTATGGTTTAGATTTGAGAAGCATAACATAAAAAAGATATCTGTAACTATAGCTTCAGTAATTATGAAACTTTGGATCTAATCAAAACCATTCCAGAATATTATATGAAGAAAAACATGTTAAAATTTGGGATATAGAATTCCTATATTGCATTCCAAATTAAGAAAGTAGACTTGGAGCGCCTGGGTGGCTCAGTCAGTTAAGCGTCTGACTCTTGATTTCGGCTCAGGTCATGGTCTCAGGGTCATGAGATCGAGCCCCACACCGGGCTCCATGCTCAGTGGGATTTCTGCTTGGGATTCTCTCTCTCTCCCTCTCCCTCTGCCCCTCCCCCATTCATTCATGCTCTTTCTCTCTCTAAAATAAATAAATAAACCTTTAAGAAAAGAGAGAAAGCAGGCTCAATTTTGCTGCTTATTAAGCTGATCCAACTTTGAGTTACTTATGCTCACAAATACCTATAGCAATACTTTGAGATCTGACTCCAGTTTAATATATGATACTATAAATTATTTGCAATTAATGTGGAGAAATTATTTCAAGGCCATTCAGGAAAAATCTATCATGCCAGACAGCTGCTTAATCAAGAAGCAAGGGACTGAAAAGATAAAAACTTAGGAGAAGTGTTTACTGAAGAATTTTTAGCAATACCAGCACTTCATAATACAAAGAAATTAACATAAAATACCTACAATACTCTATTCTTATGGTATCTATAATGATGCTTTATCGCTCAAGGTATTAATTCATTATTTTATTGTTCATTAAAGCAAAATGTAAAAGGAAGATTTCAAACGCCTTAGTTAAGCATGTAATTAGCATTCAATAAAACAAGTGCTGTGAGACAAAAATGGTGTGCTCCTTTAACATTTTTTCTTACAGAACAACCAATGAAGAAATCAAGCATAATAAATGTAATCCTTATAATCTCATAAAACTATTGGCTTAAATAGAAATTCACTTTTGGAAAATGAACTATATTCTTTTTAATCTTAGCAAGATCTGCACAAATCACTTTAAGAGTTTCTGATGACTTTAACATTGGTTATTCCTATGGTTTCAAAATTGCCAAATCCTTGACTCCTGACACAATTTTGCATCTAAAAGGATGACACTGTCATTGTCAATCATTACACAGACACAAAGGTATAAAATAAACTAACAACATGGTAGCTATGAAGTAGTTGTTATAGTAATGGTCAACATATTCATGCATTCTTGCATATAATGTATTATTTGTTTCAGAGGTAAAGGTCTGGAAAAATGAAGGGGGGGGAATCGGAGGGGGAGACGAACCATGAGACACTATGGACTCTGAGAAACAAACTGAGGGTTCTAGAGGGGAGGGGGGTGGGGAGATGGGTTAGCCTGGTGATGGGTATTAAAGAGGGTACGTTCTGCATGGAGCACTGGGTGTTATACGCAAACAATGAATCATGGAACACTACATCAAAAACTAATGATGTAATGTATGGTGATTAATATAACATAACAAAAAAATAACAAAAATATGCATGCATTTCACTAATACATGCTTGCATTATTTTCTTTCTGCCTGATTTTCTTTAATGTTGGCAATGTTGTTTTTATTCTCTTTCACATTAAATAGTTATTCTATAGTTTAAAATAGATCAGAAATATAAAACAATCTAACTTTTAAAAATTCTGCTTCTGTATTCCAAAGTCAAAGTTTCTTTCAAAACTAAATACAGACCTCATAATGTAGGTAGAATAAGCCTAAATACAGTTGATCCTCATTATCCACAAATTCTGGTTATTTGCAAATTTGTCTCCTCACTAAAATTGATTTGTAACCCCCAAATCCATACTCACGGAGCTTCCCCTGTTGTTCGTGGACATGTGCAGAGTGGCAAAAAGTTCCAGTCAATGGTCACACAGTTCCCAGCTAAGGTCAAACAAGGTGATGCTGGGCCTTTCTGCTTCAGTTCTCATAGGTAGATGACCATGATCAGAGGAGGGAGACGGTAGGAGGCAGTACAGAAGTACAAATGTTCAAAAAGCTCCACCTCTGGGGCCAGGTGGGCAGAACTTGAAACAATTTGTTGGCACCTTTTAGTGGGTCAGCCTCATACAACTAACACTACAGAACCTTATTTTCTCTATGTGAAGAAACCAGAATCTACCAGGATGGGTTGTTTTAGGATTCCCAATTATAATCTATGTGATTACAAATATTTCTTCTAGGAATAATGGTTCAGTATTCATTCATTGAGTGCCACAATTTTATGGACCATAACTATCACAAATAATGAGAATCCACTGTATTTAATCAAGTGCATATTTATTCAATTTTCATGCACATAGCCTAGCAACACATAAGAGAATAGAATAACTGTGAATAATATAAATTTTATATAGAATATGAATTAAATATTTCAGGGGCGCCTGGGTGGCTCAGTCGTTAAGCGTCTGCCTTCGGCTCAGGTCACGATCCCAGGGTCCTGGGATCGAGCCCCGCGTCGGGCTCCCTGCTCGGCGGGAGGCCTGCTTCTCCCTCTCCCACTCCCCCTGCTTGTGTTCCCTCTCTCACTGTGTCTCTCTCTGTCAAATAAATAAATAAAATCTTTAAAAAAAAAAAAAAAGAATATGAATTAAATATTTCAAATAAATGAAAACTACTGTAGAATTAATAACAAGTTTAAATGAATGCTAATTTCTTAGAATTTTTCCTGAGAAAATTATGAGCATAAAATATATTCACATTTACCCATGGTTCATGTGGTTAATGAATTGTCCAGATTCTGTTAATTGAGATGGCAAAGAGATAAATGTTGAGGATTCCACCAACCTGACACTAAAATAAATGAAAAAAGGATTATTTTGAATTCTACTATAACAAAATTCAAATGACCACAAAACATTCTTTTAAATTTTTTTCCATCATTCATAAAATATAATTAGAATCAGAATAAATTACAGTTTAAAAATCCACATGTTCTCATTCTGCATCTCAAAACATATGTTTTCAAAAAGGGAAAGATCAGGCCGCCTGACTGGTTCAGTTGGTAGAGCATACAACCCATGATCTCAGGGTTGTGAGTTCAAGCCACATGCTGGGTATAGTGATTTAAAAAAAAAAAAAAAAAAAAAAGGAAAGATCTGGAATATGTAAAAAATAATATTCTATTATATGGAAAGGCAATACTAAATTCTTATAGCAAGGAAATTGAGAACATAAATGACTGCCCAATTATATTCTAGAAACAATGGAATCATATACTGGTCTCAATGTATTGTCAGAGCTGTATACATTTCATAATTTCTAACCTTATTTTCAAAAAAGAGAATGTTTCTTTCAGGACTGGACATGAGAAATGGATACCTAGCTAATCAGTGCATTAGTAATTATGCCATCTTCAGGAATTACAAAGCAGTTCAGTCCTTCTTATAAGATAATGCTCATTCATTCAGGAAACAGTTATGGAGACTCCATTATATGTTATAGGTGGGACTAGGTGCTGGAAATACAAGCATGAATCTGTTATCCTCTCTGCCTTCAGTTGCCCACATTATAGTGGAGGATAGTGTGGAAATGATCCTCTAGATGTGGATGAAAGATGTCATGAAGAGTCATGTCAGGAATGCCTAATTCTATGTGTAGAGTTGAAGAGAATCTGTATAATATTAATAACAGATTTATTCAAACTTGATTTTGTAGGGGCCAAATGCAGGCTACACCAAGATGGGCCACTTTGGTGTGAAGATTATTTTGAGTTAAAAGCAATCAAAAACTAGCAGATTCAGGTCAAGCTCTTCATCTTCCTCTCAACTTACTAAATTTTCATGGGAAAACAGATCCTGTACCAGGAAAAGAGCTATTAACAGATTCCTCTTTACCTAAGAAAAATATCTGCATAATAGGACAACCTCTGTTTTCCAGACATCTCCTCTCACTTTGTTGCTAATGGTCTTCCTCCCCTTTGTATCCTCACACTCCTATCTTTCTTCTTAGCTCATCTAAGTCTCATGTTGCTTCACTGTCTTTGGAATTTCACATGTGTGTGAATTCCCCTTATGTAAGAAAGTAAATTTGATTTTCTCCTGTTAATCTGTCTCAGCTTATTAGATTCTTAGTTCAGCTAGAATGATCTTGAAGAGCAGAGAAAATTTCTTCCTTCCCAAAAATTTATTAAAATAAACCTTTATTAAATTAAAAAAAATAAAATAAATCTTTATTATGTAATAGTTATTAATCTCATAATATGAGCTTTACAATAAAAAGATAGATCAATAATAAAAATCAAATGCTTTAGTATTGAAACACAAACACACATACAAACACACATCCAACTGCATACAAAACTAAAATGTAACACATTCATACATCCTAATGTTTCAATGTTGAAGGGGTTCAGGATAGCCTCTGCTCCCAAAATGTCCCACTTTGGCATGCAGATTATTTTAAGCTGAAGGCAATCAAGACCCTGTGGCCTCAAAAGAAACTTCTGCCTCTCCCTTAATTATAAAGAATAATCTAAATTGGGGGTCTTTCCCAGAATAAGGGTTATTAGCAGAAATAAATTTTATCTGAGTGACCCATCTGTAGGGCAGGGCAAATGTCTAATCACCAAACATCTGCTTTTCTTCTCCCCCTGTGAGCTGCATTCCTTTCCTCTAAATTCCCAGACTCCTACCCCCTTCTCCTTAGTTCAGTATGACATATATACCTCATTTTGCCTGTCTTTGGAATTTCCTTGTCTGGATGGATTCCTCATACTTACACTATTAAATTTGATTTTCTCCTGTTAATCTGTTTCATGTCAATGTGATTCTTAGTCCAGCTAGAAGGACCCTTAAAGGGGATAGGAATTCTTGCTCACTGACAAAGCTAATGTCACTTTCTGTCCTTTTATTTTAAGTTGGTAGTTCTGATAGTTTCATATAAGGATTGTAAGGAATTATATTAATATTAAATACTAAAAATTTTTAAACAGACAAAATTAACTGTAGGAAAATGTAAACTATGAACTATGTAAGACATGTATCAGACTACCAGATTTGCTTACATCATTTTAAAGTTATAGTTAGGCAAATGTAGGAAGAATTCCTCTCTAGAGGGTAATTTTAATTTAAATTAAGGCACTAAATTCTCATTCAAATCTCAAAAAATTATGAGGCAGAAAAAATTTACTATGTTTCTTTATATTTCAATAAATCCAAGGTGAATCTTCAGGGCAATTTATATGGGTCATAATTTGTTCTGGCTAAAAAACAGTCACAAGGATAATACAATTTTACACACAAATAAAAAGACTAAACCAATAAAGTAAATATTAGGTTTTTTGTATACGGTGCATGTACCATTTTGAGAAAAATAGCATTTGAAAAGTCCCTGCTTAATTACATTGAAGATGTCCTCCTTAAAAGAGAAATATTAACTATAAAAATTAAATACAAACTGCCATTAAAGTGGAAAAAAATCCTATTTGATTACTATAGCTTCTAAATTGGCGGTTTTCACACTTCAGTGTGTATTATAAACATCTGCAGTGCTTGGTCAAAATGTATATTTCCAAGCTCTATTTGCATGAATTCTGACTTAGTTAAGTCTGGCAAGGGTTCCAGGAGCCTCTGTTTAAAACAAGCTCTCCAGATGCTTTTTAAATAGCTTATATATGGATTAAACTTTGAACAATCTTGGCTTAGACCAGCAAGGCTCTAACATTAATGTACAAAAAAATCCTCTGGAGATGTTAAATGCAGATTCTGACTCAAATGGATTGGGGTGGGCCTGACACTGTCCAACAAGCTCCCAGGTGATGCTGATTTGCTGATTCAAGGACCATACTTTGAGAAGGAAGAGTCTAATCTAAAACAAAAACTATTTTTCAAATAATAAAACCAGGCTACCAGAAAAAGAAAGGCAAGAAATGGCAGAGTTAGAACCATCACGCATTCACTACCCTATAAAAGCAATAAAAACACTGGAAAAGATTGTAAAAATTAACTTTTTCAGAGCTCTGGTTAATTAATGAAAGGCTTGCAACAATTTGAGTAGTGTTTATTAAAAACACACACACACACACACACACACACACACCTTGATGATAAGAACAGCAGAGTTTGTGGCCTTGTAACTTTTATTATGTTGTAATTCCCATCTTTCCACTGCTCTGTAGTAGCCTTGAAAACCAGCAGCCTTGCAACTAAGGCAGTTGTAAAATCTGGCAGACTTACAGCCACATGAGGGCACAGACCGAGACTGGAGCTCATCAAAAAAAGTCCCATCCCTGAGTATTGTTACTTTTTCATCTGTCTCACAGCTCCCTAGAAAAATTCAGTTTGCAAGGTGTTGTCTTTACTGACCTGACTCAAAGGAAAACAGCAATATCCAGGATGTTTGCTGAAAACAATCAGTAGCAATTGTACCTGAGGTTCCTACAGCAGTTGGATCAAACAAGAGCTTGCCAAAACATCAAAGGAAGATATGAGGGGTTGAAATAGCTTGCTAGATCCCCAAACTACGTGAAAGGTCTTCAACCCTGTCTATGAGAGACAATGATGTCCCACCAAATAAAGAATACTAATACAGAGAGAAATCATTCAAAAGAACCAATTATAAATTTTGGACTTAAAAAGTACGATATCTGAAATAAAAAATCACTAGAGGGACTAAACAGCAGGTTTGCAGTGGCAAAAGAAAAAACCAGTGTACCTGACAATGGGCCAGATAAAATGATTATCTCTAAAGAACAGAAAGAGAAAATAATGACAAAAAATTAACACAGCCTCAGAAACCTGTGAGACACCATTAAGCATACAAACACAAGCCTAATCAGAATCCTGAAAAGATAAGAAAGAAAGAGGCAGAAAGAAAATGCGAAGAAATAAATGATGAAAAATTCCCAAGTTTGGGGAGAAATATTAATTTACACATCCAAGAAGTCTAAAAAAATGTTATTTAGAATAAACCCAAGGCAATCCAAAACTAGAAAATAATAGTCAAACTCTCAGTAAGCCAAGGCACGGTAAGCAGCAAGACAAAATTGACTCAATACCTATGTCGTTCCATAGTAAAATTAAACAGTTGAATTCCCATCTGAAACCCTAGAGGACAGAAGGCAATGGGATGATATAGTCAGTGTGCTGAAAGAAGGCTGTCAATAAAGAACACTGTATACAGCAAAACTGTCCTTCAAAAATGAAGGAGAAATTAACAAATAAAGAAAAACTGAGAAAGATTCATTGCTAGCAGAACTGCCCTACAAGAAATACTAATGGGAGGGGCACCTGGGTGGCTCAGTCGATAAATGTCAGGGTCCTGGGATCGAGCCCCGCATCGGGCTCCCTGCTCAGAGGGAAGCCTGCTTCTCCCTCTCCCACTCCCCCTGTTTGTGTTCTGCTTTCACTATCTCTCTCTCTGTCAAATAAATAAAATCTTAAAAAAAAAAAAAAAAGAAATACTAATGGGAGTCCTTCAGGCTGAAGTAAAAGGACACTAGAAATTAACTCAAAACCATAAGAAATAAAAAGCACCAGCACAAGTAACTACATATATATATATATGTGTATATATATATGTATTTTCTGTGCAAACTTTTAAATTCTGCTTTCTGATTTTAATGAAAAGAGTATGAGACAATAAATATAAAACTGTTTTAAGGGCTTATAATGTGTAAAGATGTAATGGGTATAATAAGAATAGCACTAACAAGGGGCTACGAAAAGGTGATATATTTCAGCAAAATTTCTGAATTATATTGAAATTAAGTTGGTATTAATTTGAGCTACATTAACTTAGGATGATAATTATAATCTTCAGGGTAACTAAGAAAATAAGAAAAATAAGGTAGA